TTAAACACTTAGTAAAAATTTAGCAAAACTAAAGGTTTAACTGTTTTGCCAAATCCAAAATGAGTTTAGACAAGCAATCTTAATTCAAACACAATTTAGTGTAAATTCAAACCTAATTCAATATCTAATTTTACTGAATTGTATCATTTTGACCAGTGTATCATTATAAAATGTTATATAAAATGAAATCTTACAATTGATGAGCCTGGATATTGTTACAAATAAATATAATTGTTCTATCGTGTTCTATTAGTTCCAGGGTATTGTGTCCCATTTCTGTTTAGTTTAAAAATTAAGTTTTGTTAATATTTAGTTAGATTTCTGTAGATCGACAGCCCAATTGTCCCCTGGCCAAATTGTCTGCAGGCCAATTCGTCTCCTGGTCAAAATGCCATCCAGCCATTATGTTTCGAGGATAAAAAGGCCTCCAAACAATTGGTTCTTGCTGGATTTTCAAAATAAAAGAGGTGGGATTTCGCTTGAGTAAAATATATGAAGTGTTCCATATATTTCCTAGATAAAAACGATAGACAACATTAGCATATATCCCCTTTCCTTTTATTTCTAATGATAACGAAAGTATAATAATAAATTACGTATCCGATCGTATAGAGCGCCGACGATTGAGGCAATACTTTATTTACGTAGATTTATGTTAGATTTATTTGTTATTAATAAAGACACTTAATTCATTTTTATATATAAACCTTCTGCTTACCTTTTCTATTGTTTATAACCAATAAACGTTTCGAACTGCGTGCAACACATAGTGCCTTCTGCCAGAAAAATAAAAAGAAATTATTAATTAATTGTATGTTTCAAGCCCATATCGAACAAAATAATACACACGATAATTATCACTGGATACTGCACCAAAGAAATATAACCACTTACCATCGAGATCTATCCTGCGAATATTGTTACCCCTTTGAATTCCCATTAACAGCCCGATTTCGGAACTTTTGGAACTGGTATTCTGTCGAATATCCTGCTGAGAACTTTTCGAGATATACTCAACAGTATCTCGAGGAACTATTCTATACCAGAGGAATAGAAGAAACCTGGACCGCTATTTTTAAATTGATATTTAGTATAAGATATCATAGAATTCCAGAAGAATCGTATATAATAATTCGACAAACCTTATATAATACATTTATCAATACACAAGGATTTCTTTTAGATCCATTTACTGTTCTCTATATCGCAAGTGAAACCACATCTCCAGTATCGTCTGATGATAGTTTTGGATTAGATAATCCTGGAATATTAAACGATCCAAATTTTAATAATTTATTATTTAATACCGAACCTCTAAATCTCGAGCAATTATTTAGAGAAGAAAATCCAATGGCCGCCCAAGCAGTTGATCTTCAAAATTTAACGGCAGCTTTACAAGCTCTGCAAGGAGTTTTACAACCCCCTGGACCACCAAATGCAAATAATGCCATTATAAATCTACAAGCCCAAATGCAGGCTCATGCTAATGCATTGGCAAATCCTCTTGGAAGAGAAGCTCGAGTGGTAGATATACCTAATTATTACGGAGGAAATCAAGACCCCGTTGGATGGTTAGAAGAGTTCACACGAGCCTGTAATGCAAATGGAATTGCTAATACTAGAAAATTAGAAGTGGTACCAGCTTACCTCAATGGACCAGCCTCTACCTGGTGGATGACAAATCAAGCACTGGCAGCTAACAATGCAAATAGAATTAATGCATGGACAGGGAATAATAACAATACTGACTTTATTGCTAATTTCCCTGCCACTTTTCGATCACAGAGCTTGGTTGAAATTTGGACCACGGAGCTTGAACGACGACATCAACGACCTAACGAGACCGTTGACGCCTATGCGTGTGCTTTACAAGAACTATATAGGAGAATTGAAACTCCAGCATTTACATATCCAGCTGCAATG